TCCTTCCTGCTCTTTGCACTGCAGTGTTGATGCAGGTCGGACTTATTTTTAGGCGTGAGTGCTGCCTTCTCATCCACAGTCAGGCAGCCAGACAGGGACCAGAGGTCGGTGACCAGTAGGGGGCACCGACCGAGGTGAAGTGACGTCAGAAGAAGGGACTAAAAAGACACACATTCTTCAAGATCTTACCTGAATAACATCTGGACATTGAACACCATCCCTGCTGCCCAGACTGCCCCCCTGTGGCTGGACCAGAAAAACACCGCTGCATGTGACTGATGTCAATTTTCTTCAATATTTCTCTGAAATATTTGACACATTCAATTCTGGTTTCATGTTTTTAGTCGGAGGTGTGACGGAGACGGTGGCGTCTGTGGACACACCTAGACTGACAACAACAACAACAACAGTGTTTACAGCCACAGTCTGATTGGTCGACGGTCCTCTGCAGCGGTCGACACGTCGGAGTTCAAAGTGTGGGTCGGTACGAGGACGGACGGGCTGCTGTCACATGATGAACTCCAACACACATGCAGGAGAGGGAGAGGAGGAGACGGGTCACGGCTGTGACCTTTCACCCAGTTTGTGAAAAACTGTGGGACTCCTGTGAAGCTGGACACCATCAGTCAGAAATATATGTGTGTATTTACAAGGACATGACTTCCTGTTGGGGACGGGGTCAAGACTTGACCTCTAACCTGGATTAGGAATCTGCAAACCTGCCAAACCCATTGAACCTCAGCTCAGAGCAGAGCCGTGTGTGTTTGCAGAAGTTGCCTAGCACCTGGTAACTGTACCAGGTGAAACCCTATCATGGTGCCTTCATAAAGCTGGCCCTGCACTGGATCCTCACTGACACCTGTGACCTCACCACAGTCCGTCAGGTCAGGTAGAAACTTCCTGTCCTGTAGCAGCAGAGGCTCAGGTCATTAGATGATTGGGTTTGACTAGAGGAGCTGTGACATCATTTCCTGTCTCCACTGTAGCAACTAAACAAAGTCAGCTGTCGTTCTCATGGATGGATGGATGGATGGATGGATGGATGGAGTACAGTACAAAGTACTTCAACGTAGACTCTACTGCCGTGGGCAAACC